CCCCCTTAGTGGGCAAAGCCTCTTGGCTGCAGGCAGTAAATGGTGGTAGGATGCACAACTACAACACACTCTATAGTTTTATTGGCTTGGTGCTAGAAATAGATTTTGTGTGCAATGGTAGTTGCAGCCTTAGTGTCTGTGAAGCATGCTACAAGTACAAAAGCTGTCCTTGCGTTCAGTGTGAGATCAATTGGTACCTGTCCTTCATTTTCCCAGCCTGAAAAACAGCCCTGGTGATGAGCACAGCTTCGTTTGTGCAAACACCAGCCAAAAATGAAAATTAAAACTGCACAGAGACTTTGCTACTTAGTAGGACATTCAGGCTGTAAATTAGAGGGTCCCTCACATTTCTGCAGGAGGTTCTATGTTAGCTAACTACAAAAATAGAAAACGTCATTTGGTGATGTGGAGGGTCCTTTCTGTCCTGTATTAGTAATGTGGATTGATGTTGGTCAGTGGGAAGGGCTCCTTACTCTCCCTCATAAGTTTTTTAAGTCAGCATTGAAGAAATGGTTATTTTTTTCAACCATCAAAAAATGGATTTTTTTTTCAGATGCGTGGGATGCCTCGATATGAGAGGAAACTCCCTGTGCGGAGCACTGCAGTTTGGGTTTGTTTGGGTTCTTTTGAGTTGAGGGGCAGTGAATGCAATGGTTATCTTTTCCCCAGGCAAATTGCTTTGGCCTTCTGATCCTTCCAGTCTCCAAGGAAAACAGCATTCAACATTATCTCTTAAAATTACACCTCTTGTACCTGTTGAGTGCATTTGGGGCTGGTTCCTTACTGTCCTTGATAGGAGTGATGCCACTGCATATCAGTGCTCATCTCCCCAGAGTTCCAGGTAGTTGAGGGGCTGCAGTTCTGTGCAGGAGGCCACAGAATGGCAATGTGGGAATCGGAAAGCAAGGTGTTGCTGTTCAAAAGCATTCCAGGGGCAGCCTGCCTAACACCATAACTGTCTAATATTTATATATATTAAAATATTTATATACTGTGTTAATATATCACTGATATTAACAATCAAACTATTTACTTATAATGGCTTATATGCAAGTTAACTATATAATCTTCCACAGCATTTTCACAGTGTTCCTGGGAGGACAGTTTGTCCCATGGTTTTGTTTTCTTATATTAAAAGCAAGTCTTATTTTTAGAAGGAGGGCTAGTAGATTAACAGCATTTGAATCCTTTGTCACCTCAGTCCTTCTAAACCAGGTAATATCTTCTGTCCTGTCTCACAGGAGAGGGATCAACATTAGTTGATGCCTACAGTTTGTTTCTGGAGGAAATATTCCTCAAAACAGAGACAAAAATACAATCACCAGCAATTCTGAAGGACAGACTGACAGACACATACACACACCCACTCAGGTGAAATACTCCTCTTTTTAAAAGCATTTGCATAATGGCTATCTAATAAGTTGAAATATCTGTTATACAATGCCAAAGCCAGATCTCACCACTGCCTATTTATAACTTCATATAAACAAGCCACAAGTCTGAGATTTCTGCTGCAAATGGAAGATTTTTATCTGCACCACAGAGTAGTTTTGTGGAGGCATTGTCAGAGGCTTTCTGGCTTCAAAAAGCAGCACCAAAGCACAAAGAAGAAGTAACCTACCGTTGTTCCAATTCCGTTGCCTTCAACAAAACCTGTATGAAGGTGTGAAATTTTCATGCTATTGAATTAAGAAGAGGCAGTTTAGCAGAACTGTTTTTCATTCATTTTTTCCTCTTCCCCAAAGAGGAACAGAAACTTGCTCAGAAAATTGCTTGAAGTGCAGTAGTTAGCATTCTAGCTAGCCAAGGGAATTGAAGCAATACTGTGAAGGATGATTTAGCAATATAAATGGTGGGTTTTAAATAAGTCGAGTTAGAAAGATCATATCAAAAGTAAATAAGCTTGGAGCAGCTGTTCATTTTTAAATCAGAGAAACTAATGCATGTTTAAACTACAGTTGTGCTAGATATTCACAGAGCCATTAGGGAGACCAGGGTGCTTTTTTTGGTTGAAGAACACACTGTATAAAAAAAAGTACCTTCTCCATGCAGTTCTGCAGTAGCTATGTATTGATCGACTAATACTTCTTTTACAGAGACAAGCAAAGTTAAATGCTTCAGCATGTCTTGCTGTTGCCCCCTAAAATCTTCTTCATCTCCTACAATTCATAGAATTATAGAATTGCTCAGGCTGGAAAAGGCCTTAAAGATAATCGAGTCCAACCACAACCTAACCATAGCACCCTAACTCTAACAGCCCACTGCTAAATCATGTCCCTGAGCACCACATCCAAACAGTTTTTAAACACATCCGGGGATGGCCACTCAGCCACCTCCCTGGGGAGCCTATTCCAGTGCTTAACAACCCTTTCTGTGAAAAAGTTTCTCCTGAAAATTGTTGAATGATAGCAACATACAGCTTTGGCAGAGGAGCAGTGGCAACACTGCAGGACCTATCACAGACTGACTCATGAGGAGGAGGCAGTGGATGTGGCATTCTGCAGCCAGCTGACAGATACTCAGTGCACAGGTAACTAGGAAGAGCCAGTTGACACTTTTACATGGCAGGCCAGGGATGGGACCTATCCAGCAGTCTCCACAGAAGCTGCAGGAGCTCTGGCCAGGCTTACATGGGCATTTGTACACTAAGAGAAATTGTAGCTCACTTGAAGAGTAAAAATACAGTGTTCTGCCAAGTTAAGATTACTTTTGAAAGAATGTAACCATTGGTCAGGCTAAATTGTATCTCCTCACCTTCAACTATCAACACCCTTGTCAACAGGGTATTCATGGTAGTGACACACAGCTGTCCGCATCGTGCACACACCAATAAACTAGGGATTTAAATGCAATTAAAACAGCTCCATAATGAATGTACAGAGGAATAAATGAGCATGTGCAATTGTTCTACCAGTACAGTATGCAAATATTTATATCTGCTCTTTGTATTTCTACAGGGATCTGAGACTGGTGTCAATAGGTGGTGGTACAGATGAAACCATGCTTTCTATTATATGCAAACACATGGAAACACTTCCAAGGAAATAACACATCTGCACTCTTCCTCAGAAACTTAAGAAAGCAAGAGCATGGTTATTACTGCATCCTGAAGGTAACAGGCAACATGATTCAAGCGTGGAAGAAATAGGAATGGTATTTATAAAATATCAGTAAATTTTCCAGGAAAACACTTGTCAGAGTGTTTCACCAATATCATGATGCATATTTTCCAATATCAAATTAATGTTATTGCCTGCAAGATTTTTTCCATTTTTAGTGATTTACAGCTTTGAGGGCTCTGGTGATCCCAGCTAAAGAAATCTTGTCTTCTTCAATCAAGGTACAGCTGCATTTTAGCTCATCTACGCAACCAAATAAGAAGCACAACTTCCACATGGGTCCAGGATAATTTCAGTAGTAACATAATCTAATTTCATTTAACTTCGCTTTCAAGTCACAAAATATTTATTCCATATCCACTTGATATTCAAGACCCAGCAGTGGTTTTGTTCTCAGTTCCCAGTATCTTCCCTATCTCTCACTTTTAGCAAGTAAACATCAAAATTAGTTACTTCAGCAAAACCAAGTCAAAAATCACAAGCCCCCCAGTCCAGTCACCATCATTACCTTCTCACTCTTGTGCTGCACTCTGACACAGATGTTTGCTGGTAGGACTGGAGGCAGATTTTTAATTTTAGAATACTGCAAACAATACCTTACTTGTACTTTTTTGGAGTACTTGAAATGTCTGGAGGCCTGAATTTCAGCAGTCAGGTTTCACATTTTATGTGCAATTATGAATGAAAAATATTAAAGTGCAAACGTGAACACTGTAATCAGTTAAATGAGACCATAAAATGTGCATGCCACAATCAAGTTGAAACAGGAGTGTACTAAATATTAAATAAAACTAAATATTTTCAATATTTTATTGCGATCTGTTCAATAAAATCTCACTGAAATACACATCTACTACGAAGCATCAGTTCTCCCTTTGCACTTCCTAATATTTCATTCTTTTCACTTCACTGCGTATCAGCCATACCTTCAGAAACACAGGCAACTCTCCTTAAAAGGCAGAAGAGACAGCATGTCTTATTGAAAAAGAAAAAAGCTTCATTGGAATTCTCCTTGAAAAACAAAGAAAGGAAGACACAAGCTCATTTTTTTCCTCCTATTCCTTCTCCCTCAATCTCATCACATCACTGAAGAAAAGAAAGAAAAGGAGGGAGAGGGATCCTAATCTGTACGATTTACCTTTGATCTGGTCTGACTTTTACAACAAAATTCCTGTTGGTTTTACACATGAATTGAAGGACAAGTAAGAGGCTTTTTACCCATATGCTGTGGCAAGGGAAAGCACAGCATATTGTTCAGAACAAATATGGGAAATGTCTCAGCTGTGTAACTAGTTGCACCTACCTATTTTCTACTCTACATTATGCAGATAAATACTACTTCCATTTATTGGTAAGAAAGAAATACCTAGAAATTGCTCAGACACCACGTGACACAAAGATTGTTTTATAAACGATGACCAAATATCAAGGGAGTGTGGATGTCAAAGTTACATCAATAATTATTGCCCTGAATGCTAGGCACCCTTACATTCTCTCAGTTGGGATGGCAAATCATAGCCTATTGACTTTCTCTGAGAATACTGTGTTTGTTTAGCAAGCCTAGCAATTCTCATATAAATATTAATATCGGGATAACAAATCTTATATGTTCTGATACTTGTAGACCTTTTAACAGTCCAGAATTAAATGGGCTAGAAACAATTGCATTTCAGTTACTTTTATAAAAGACATCCTACAGAATGTGCGATTTAGACATAATATTCCTGTTATATATGAAAGTGAACATGAAAAGTGTAAAATGTATACAGCTCTATGTATTTGAACAGAGTTCACCATCACACAAGTATAGTTGCTTAAGCAGCACCATTTCAAAAAAACAATGGTACTCTACAGCAGGAAAGTATGCATACAAACAACAAGAATACTCCAGGACATTTTATTTGTCAGCTCATAATTAACTTATTAATGGCAGTATGCTATACAGTATTTCTAAAAAAATTATTTTAAAAATGTAGATACAATTTCAAGGTCTAGAAAACAACATTTTTCTGTCGAACCCAGTGATGTGATACTTTCAACTATTAGAAACTACTTTGTGAGTTAAAGCTAAGTGTTAGAAGTAACAACCTTAATACGCTACCACCTCCAACAGGTGCTTCATAATATTTACATTTATCAATATAAAATCTAAAATATTCAACCTCATATTCAAACATCATGCAGAGTAGATTGAGGGTTCTCACAGAATGAAACATAAATGAGCTAATGGTACAAGTTCCAGTGATTCAATGGAATCATTAAGTTTTGAGTACTTTAAATGTAAAGGAAACATTTGCATTGTATCCAAATTTGTTGAACCAAATGATCAAAGGCATTTGCTTAACAGAACAGACAGGCAAGCATCATTTGTCACATTTAAAAGGAAGATCCAGTTTTAAGTAACTTCTCCTCCAAACAAAATGTTTAAGCTACTTAAACATGCAGACCGTTAGACCCATCAACCTAGCATCACAAAAATCACTTTTGGGGGGTACCACCATTACATTTGTTACTCTCAAGCCAGCCTTCCAAAAACCTACAGATAAAACCAATTTTGAAAGATCCAACTATTGGTCATGCTTCTGAAACCCAGAAGTTCTGAAACCTAGGGAGCTCTAATTTAGAGCATGGCTCAGATTGAAAAGCAAAATGAAAGCGAAGGCCTCGTAGTTCTGCAATTATTTCATATCTGAACAACCTTTGGTTTTGGGGGAGTTCTTTGATTCCTCTTGTATTTTTTTTAACCAGTTCTGTAAACTCTTTTATTCTAAAAAAAGCAACTTAAGAGTGCCAGTAGTTTCTGTGTACTTATAAATAATCCCCCCCAAAACAGGGGACAGTGGGAGAAATTTCAATACATCAAGAAAACTGTATATAACACTGCATTAAGTACTAATGCAATTTACAATACTTTCATTGTGTTTTATCAACAGAATATGGCAGTTTAAATCAACGTTGTCATTAATTAAGACTGATGGTTGAAATTACACAATTTAAACTTGAGACAACATGCATCACCTGAGTTTAATAATCCAGTATGTTACAAAAAAAACAAATAATGCAAAGAGCATCATGTAGCATAATAGTTTTGTCTGGCTCCCTCTGGACAGCCTTCTTAGTCTGCCCATAGTCGCACCTAGAAGTCCAGTTGCAGAGTCAAAATCATTATCCTGTGTTTCAGTGAAACAGAACAGGAGAGAAGAGAGGGGAAAACAAACAAAAACATTACATATATAGTCAGCAATAAGCTGTCAACACATTTATACAAACGTTCAAACTACACAGAAGAATGTTCTACATTACTAACTTCAACATCCTGCCCCACATTTGAAGAAAATTAGTGAAAAAGCACTTACCATTTCTGATAACAATTTGTTTTGATTTTTAACTTCTGTTCCAATCTCAATAGAAAGCTATTGAAAGAAAAAAAAAAAAAAAAAAAAGAGGTTTAAATATGAGTCATCAGTTATACATAAATTAGAAAAGTTGCTCTAAAATACATATCACTAGTGCTTTCTTGGGTGAAATGTGAAAGAAATATCTGGCATCTTTGAAAAACAGAAACTTAAGTTATAAAAACAAGTGCAGCATTCTGTCAGCAATCCTCAGGGGAGGAAATAAATACTTATTTCAAAAACTGAAGATCCAGTCAAGTCTGAGTAGCAACTACTCATTTCCTTGAACTGTTAGAACTCCTGACTGTGAAGCAAGGACAAGGCCTCCACAGCCACAGTGCTTTCCATTAGCCACAACCTCTATGTTTTTGTGGCACAACCTCACAACTTCTTACTGCTGCTGCTTTTCACCACCATCTATAAACAAGTCACAAGTCCACCTATTTTAATTAAATGTGGCTATAATTAAGTACTTACTGATTTTATTGCACTGACTTTGGTGCGCAGACTTTCTGTTAACCTTTCATTTTCTTCTTCATATACACTGTACCCACTGTTAGTATAGCCATAGTTACCAGCTGGCGCCCCATCACCTGTAAGCAAAAAAGCCAGTAGTTACAGACAGAAAATATAATTGGAGTAAGTGTTCTTCACTCGTGGGAAAACACTCTGCATTTAAAAATGCATTTCCTTAACAGAAATCAGGCATCTGGGAAGAGGTGTTGCATGTTGCAAGAGACATAGATTCAACCTCTTTCAAACACTGAAGTAATCTTGCAAATCAAAGTAGGTAAAGATTGAGGAATGTTGGCAATTAAATGCTATATTTTTCCTTAGAGGGTGTTTTCAGATGGTTTTTATGGAAATCAATCTAAATATTGTATGAAGTTGTGAAAGCAGCGCTGAGGTTGCTACACAGAGCAGTAAGCCTGATTCAAATAAGAGAGAAGAGCTACAAGTAACATTTGGCTACACCTGCCTTTGGAGGAGAGAGCATGCTCATCCTTATACGTCACTCTACAAACAGGACCTTAGACCAGAGGCCAAGCCTGTAAGCAGAAGAGCACACTGCTCTTTCTGTCAGCATCCTGCAGTTCTACTCTCCTGCCTTTGCCTTTTGGGTGATGGGCTGCAGGACTGCTTTCCAGAGAACTGATCCTGCAAAGAGAGTAAGCAGAAGAGAACTGGAGCTGGTTTCCTCAGCTCCAAACACACACTGTCCCCAGCACCTACTGGATCCCCTACTGACAGCAACTGGGCAGCAGCACTGGGGTAGGAGAAAGAAGGCTGAGTACAGCCTAGACAGAAATCAGCCTATGACCCCAAATGTAACATTTGAAACCAAAGAAGCAAATCCAAAACAAGAAAAGCAAACAGAAAATATCCTACTAGATTGATTCTACTAACAATCCAGTTGTAACACTAATGAGTATTTACATGGCAAGTTGGAATGCCACATTAGTGTCTCAATGCCACGCTTTACAAAGTGCTGTGTTTGGGTATTTTCCTTTTTGAGGAAAAAGTGTGAGAATAGACACAATGACATTCATAGATAAATCCATATCTCAGTTTCACTGTGTGCTTTGCATACATACTTGTAAAAGAACTATACTGCTACTTCGATAATAGATGTCTTTTTGTCTCAAGCCATAAAGCCATTGCTAAGTGTACATAATGATAATTTTTCAAGGACTCAAAATTTAGAAGTTTGCACTTGTAAAATGGTTTTTAAATTTTATTCTGTAAGTTAAACTAATACAAATACACACAGTAAGACAGGGTGAAAAGCATCTTTTCACTTCATCAGAGGGAGAGCTCAGGGTTTTTTCCCCTTGAAATCAAAACTACTGATGCCAAAGTTAACTAAAAAATTATGCTATTTAATGGAGTCAGGATTGTTCTTATTGTTTTTCTTTACAAAAACATCTAACTACAGTACCTCCTACTAAGTAACAAACAATTTTGAATGCTTGTAAGTTAATACTCATAGCAGGAGAGTTGTAACTAAATGGTCTTCAAGGTCCCTCCCAACCCAAGTCATTCTGGGATTCTATGGTTCCAGAGAGGAAATGGGAGGCTCTGTGTAGAGCCTGGCTACTGCTACTTAAAGGAAGGCTACAAACTCCTACATGGCACGTCTACAGGCTGCCTTGCAACACCACTAATTGCCAGGACATGCCCATAGACATAACCATAATACCATCTCAGGCTAAACAGGAGGTACCAGGTAGCTGGAAACAAAAGCAGACATACTGGTGTGCAGCTTGTACTTCCAGCCCATGGAATAAAAAGGTTGGACTAACAGCTGACATATGAAGATAAACCAGCAAATTTCACTGCAGCTGATAACGGTCCTAAGAGACATCTAAATCATCTGTTCAACTTCTCAGCAGGCGTTTCAAGAAGTACCTTCTGGATGCCCCTTATAGCACTAATTGTAAGAGCCTTGCCAAGAAAAGGCCAGCTCCAGCTTGTTCCTTCCATAGCCACCCATCCCCTCACTCCTTTAAAAGCATCAAAAGAGGGGTAGCCAGCAGGACAAGGGAGATTACTGTTCCTCTCTACTTTGCCCTCATAAGGCCTCATCTGGAGGACTGCATCTGGGCCTAGGCCCTCACCTCAGAGAAGATGTGGAATGCTTTAAGGAGTCTAGAGAAGGGCCACAAGGATTATCAGAGTGCTGGGAGCACCTCTCCTGTGAAGACAGGCTGAGGGAGCTGGACTTGTTGAGCCTAGAGAAGAGAAGGCTGTGGGGAGACTTGATAGCGACCTTTCAGTTCTTAAAGGGAGCTTATAAACAGGAGGGAAATCAACTTTTTACATGAGTAGATAGTGACAGGACAAGAAGGAATGGTTTTATACAAAAAGAGGAGAAGGTTATATGTCAAGAAGAAATTATTTACTCAGAGATTGATAAGGCGCTGGCACTGCTGCCCAGAGAAGCTGTGGGTGCCCTATCCCTTGAGGTATTCAAAGCCAGGTTGGATGGGGCCTTGGGCAGACTGATCTGGCAGCTGGCAACTCTGCCCATAGCAGGGCATTGGAACTAAATAAGCTTCGAGATCCCTTCCAACCCAAGCCCCCAACGATCCACTGGAGATGCCTGCTCTCACGAATACACACTCAGCCATCCCCTCACCACACCACCTGTGTGTATGGGGACGTGACAGCACTTCGAGGTCCCAGAAAACAACACGCGAGGTCAAAGTTTCCTTCCAGTCATCAACATGGCTGCTGGGTGAAGGGGCAGACCCGGGACTCCAAACACACCCCGCAGAGACCCCGGCCTTTCCCCCAGACTCTACCAGCGCTAAACCGAAAGTAGATCCGCCTTCTGTTTAACCCAAACGTAGCAGGAAAGCATACAGAAGGACTGAAATTAAATAAAACACGAACAAAACTGGCAGGACGCCCATCCCACCTAAACCCCGACCCACGGTAGTGCCGTGCCCATCGCATCGCATCGCATCTATCTTACGGCACCGAGCGGCGCGACGGCCCGCAGGCCCCTGGGGTCCCCACGCAAGACGGCTCTTACCCAGCCCCGCGCGCCGCATGGCTGTGCCCGGAGCCGCCGAGGAGGGTCGGGAGGAGGAGGGTGAGGAGCGGGACGGCCGAGCCAAAAGAAGCGGGAGCGGAGCTCGGCCTGGCCGCCGCTGCACCGCCCGCCTCGTTCACCGGCAGCGCCACGACAGCGCCGCGCCGCACGGCCCGCTGGGAGCCGCGGTGCGCGGGGACCGATGGGAAGTGTAGTCCCGAGCCGCGGGAGGGCGGGAGGCGCTGCGCTGCCGAGGGGAGGGCCGGCCGGTCAGAGAGCACCGCTGCGGTGCCTCGCTGTGCTGAGTCCGTGTGCCGCTCGTAAACCGCAATTCAGCGCTTCGCAGCAAAGCGTGGAAATGGTATTGGCGCGATTAATGTTTCCAGTACATTTTTATTATATTGAATTTCTGCTGGTTTTTTTCTTTTATGCACTGGATCACAGTCACAAGTGGTCAAAGTGGTTTTGAGATGCCCGATCAACATATTTTTTGAATCAAAGGCAACATGTAGGAAGAAAAAGCAAATAAGAAAATTAAGCCTTAAGCAGTCTGCAAACTGATCTGTCCTGTGTTTTTGTGAGCAGCCTGTATAGGTGTATCATAGAATCACAGAATCACAGAATCACCGAGGTTGGAAAAGATCTCTAAGATCATCCAGTCCAACCATCCAGCTATCACCAAATTTCCCACTAAACCACATCCCTCAGTACAACATCTAAACGTTTCTTGAACACCTCCAGGGATGGTGACTCCACCACCTCCCTGGGCAGCCCATACTAGCACATGACCAATCTCTCTCCTTTCCCCAACATATTGATCAACAATTGCTCTCTTTCCATTTTTTCTTTATAAAAGGGATATTCTACATATCTTTCCAACAGGAGCCATTTCTTATTGCTCTTATCTGTTGGTTATATTTACTGGCTCCTGTTCGACTAGATGAATAAATTTACATAGCAAACAGTTTATTAGTAGATTACTCCAGGACTCTATTGCAAAAACAATAGTAAGAAAAAAAAAAAAAAAAAAAAAAAAAAAGGGGGAACAACAACAAAAAGAAGCTGTGTGAACAGATACCATATAATCAAACTTCCAGTACACAAAGTACAGCAAAGGAGTCTTATTAATGCGATAATGATAGTGGCAGTATTATCATTGAATTATTTAATTACCAACCAGACTGACATTATTCTTACATGTTTGATAAACAGGTTGTCACAGTCAGCATGATTAACACTACTTTGAGCACTGACAGGCTGTGAAAACAACCCGGCAAGTTACAGTCATCATTTGAGAGCTGAAAAGCTCATAGGGCATTATGTTAGTACCAAATACTTCAACTGCTGTTTTCTTAAGTAGTAAGCTACAATTTTTCAAAATAATAATAAAACAAAGGTAGTTCAAGTTTGATCAATTGCATAATTAAATAAAAGCTGATGAGACATTTCCGAATAAAATCATTGCACTTACCATGTAGAATCTAGACTAGATCACAAAATAATTAAGATTTGGTGCCTTCAAAAAGGAATAAAGAACATCTTTCAGCATCCTTCATCAGTATCCTTTTTACTTATTATCCTAATTTACTGTAATGCCATTTAGCAATTAAGAATTCTCAAAATGCTTCTGTTAAAAGAAGTCAGTCCAGTCGATCAGGTGCCTCCTCCCATAACACTGACAGTGAACTTAGTATATCATCAGTGTTATTCTTCCTGGTTGTACTCCCCAAGTACTGCAGTCAAGAAGACAAGGTGATGCTATGTAAAACCATGCCTTCTTAAGACAATGAATGTTTGAAGGAGGCTCATCATGGCTGCTGTTGTTAATATCTAGACTGTCAAGCAAGGAATTAATCATGAGAATCAAGCAGAATAGTTTGTACATTCATTATTGATATTCTTTAATTATGCGAACATAAGTAAATCACTGCAAGTACAGACAAACCTCTCAGTTTCACCCATCACAGTGATTCAACATTTTATTAAATACTGTCAAAAAGAACCGAGGCTGTTTCAGGTCTTAATGTGTTTCCATCAAAGATTACAATTTCTTTCTGGTATAAGCCTCCAGTTTTGTGTGTATTATATACATTCAAAGCTGTAATCCATATCACATTGTTTTCTTGTTACTGAATTCAGTATTTCTCTTTTTTTTCCCAATCCTAGCAGAAGATTATCCTCAGGGAGTCCTCAAAAAAATGGCAATTTGGACACTTCAGCAGTGACACAGCTGAGAGAAGGAGAAGCAAGAGGTTAGGCAGCATCAGCAGAAAGCAGCTGTAATTGAAGATTTTTGAAGAAAATGCAGACTTTCCACTTTCATGACCCATTTCTTTACTCACAATGAAGGCTTCTTTCTCCTCATTTTGAGCTATGTTTGGGAAGTACTGAGCTTTATCTTCCCTTGTGGATAATAACATTTAAATATGTTTATTATTTACTTACTTGTTTCTGCTAAACACTGTGATTCTTCTTATTTCCTTTCATTACTTTTTGTTAGTATAAACTGCTCCATCTCTTGTTTGATTCTGTGGGGAACGTTCCCACACACCTCTGCTGCATTTTTATAGATTTTTTGTCAGTGCTGTTAAATTGCATCAGAGCAGAGAAGGAAGGCTGTGGGCCCGACTAATAGTCTCCCTCCTAAATTTCATTACAGAGGGTTAGAATCAAAATTTACTGAAGTTGTGGAGAATTTTTGTATTGACTTTGGATCGAGTTATAAATTTTTATTAAAAAAAAAACACAGCTCCTCTGATTCTCTATCTCCCAAGCAGTGTGTGCTGTGCAATCTATGAATAATTCCAGTCATGACTTCTTTCTCTCATATTAAGGTACCATTTCTGATGTCAGCATTGACGGGGCAATAATATCAGCTGAATGAGTGATAAGAATTCAAAGCCATTGCAGTAGCTTGAACATTAATAACTGCAATGTCTAAAGAAGAGCACTAATACATTTAAAATAAGAAGTGGAAGTGGAAGTAATATTTTTCATTTCAGTAAAACAAATGTATGGGATGACTGGAGCACACAGTTCCAATGCTTCATAAGATGCAATTAAGTAATAATTTGATTATTTGAGTTCTGTTTGTTTTGACCTTTCAGACACGTAGGAAAGGTTTTTACCAGTCAAAGCAGAGAATTCATTAAAAGCAGAGACTTTAAGCACAGTGAATTTCAGGGAGGGGAGAGCTGCTTTGCAGACATGTATCTGGGCAGAGCATTTTCCTGCAGCACACTTCTGAAGACAAATGAGTCGGCATCCTAGTTGCTTTGTTGTCCAGAAAGGAAAAAGTGAGAATGCAAATCAAGATTCCTGATTCTGAGCTAGTTTTGTGCTAGCTTTCTGCTTAGCCACTGTGGAGTGACTTGAAAAATAAAAACATCATGTACTTCCTTAATTCTCATTAGTTTTCTGACAGGTCAACAAATCATGCACAAAACAATTAGTTTGATGACTAATTAGAGAGACTAATGCCTGAACATAAATCTGCAAAAGATCTTGCAAGTCCCTTGTTCTCCAGAAAGACCATGTCAATTAAATTATCCATTCGAAGCACCTTTATAAGGTTTGTTTTCTTGGCATGTTGCAAGGAGCACAGCAGCAGAGCTGATCGCCTGTAGTGGAGCATGGTGTCAATGGACACTAAGCCTTCCTGCACCGTGGTGGCTCTTTTGGAGTTTAGCTGTGGATTTCTGCATAGCTTTATGTTAAGCCACAAGAACTAGTACTGGATAATTTCTACAATTGTATTATTTGACAGATGGGAAGAGAATATAGCATTGTAATCCATAAAGATGAATCAATGCATTTCGAAAGAAAAAAAAACACTTAATTTTATTGAAAATTTCAGAACATTATGTGGCTTTTAATGAAGCCAGTGGCAATTTTAGAAGTTTTATGGCATGGAATCAAAACTGAAGTAACTACAGTGCAAAAGGGAACATTAATTACTGTGTAGAAAGGATTGTTTTATTTCAGAATTGAAAGCTGTAGGTTCTTTTCATGACTTTCTGTAAATCTAGTTAAAAGCAAACATAGATCATGCTTTGTGGTACACCATGAAGAACTATTTCTGCCTCCACAGCATTTTCACTAACAGAAGTAATTCTATTCACTTGAAAATAACAATAACAAAATCATTAGCGTAGTTGTACAAGCAAATAAATGCATGATCAGTAAGTTAAAATTCAATAACAATCTACAAATGTGTCCCACCACATACAAACACTCACTGTATAGTTGTTACAAGCTAGACACCTAAAATTTTTAATTGGACAATAACAAGAATCTTTTTTTCCCCTTAGGATTCATGTTAGGCAAAAGGTCTGCAAGGCTGCCTACAGGATAAAAAGGTTCACACAGTTCCCTTTACCCACAGTTCAAGCACCATGCCTGCAGCTTTCTGTGGATGTCTCGAGGTCCAGCAGTTCATGCCCAAGGGCAAGCTGCTCCCTGGTTCAAGGCCCACCAGCGCTGCTGTCATGGACTGTGTCCTGGCTAACAGCTCAAAGCCCAGCAGGCTGCCCATACATTTTTCCTCTCTGTCAGTTGGCCTGCTGTATCCTGCTGTTTGACTTGTGGCAAATTAAGCAGTGATCTTATCCGGCCCATTTTCTTTACCTTTTATGTGCTGCTGAGGAGGTTTTTTTCAGCTTATCCACCCTAGCAGTTACCATTTTGTTCCCTGCTACTCAGATAATCACCATCTCCTTATACAATTGCTGTCCTTGTTTCTGCATAGCCAAGCAAAGATGACTTGGTATTTTTGAGACCCTTTCCCGAGGAAATCTAATGATTCAACTGAACCCTCTGACCCAAATCTCTTTCCTGAGATGCCAGAAGAGGGGAGAATATCAGGTTGATGATTTACACAGAGCAACTTTCCTCTGAATTATTTGGAAGTCTGGAGATAACGTTATACACAGACTAGTTCTTCTCATAGTGATGCTCTTGAGTTGAATCCATATGCTACATGATAATTCTTTCAATTGTACCTTTGTGGGAAACTCACAGAGTTAAAATGCAAATGTTCATTTACTACAGGAACACTGAGTTCATATACCCCACTGATGGAAAAGAAAATGTACATGTGCATGTCTGAATTTCATGAATCTTCATTTATAAAGAACATTTTCCTTTAAATAAGATTATTAGGATAATCTCCTCTA